GTTGTGTGTTACATCCCTGCTTCCATTGTTTTGGGTTTTATATCTCAAAGCCTAGACCAATACAACCTCATTTATCTGATTCACAGTCACCTCTGGGGATTTTGAATTTTGGTGAACTGACACTTTGTAGATAGAAGGAGTCAAGCTAAGTTATGACATAAACCTCTTTTAATACTGTTAGGCAACCACGCATACCAAGAGAGGACCCTTTCAGTTCAGGGGCCAAAGGCGCCCTGCCAGAGAATTCCACCAACAACAGCCTGGTGGCGAGTAGACCTCAGCTCCACAGGGACCAGGTATTGAAGCTCGACGACGAGATCGCCTGCGCCCTGGGTCATGATCTCTCCCAGATTCCCTCTGCCACTCGTAGCACCATGAGGAATCTGACGTACCGGCATAAGGAGGTCATCCAGTGGCAGGCACAGATATCTGAGACTATTGGGCAGGTGGACCGGGAAATCATTGCCCTGGAGCAAATGAAAAGCACTGCTGACAGCTTTCTCGAGGAGAAGCTTTCTTATGGCCAACTAATGGCGGAGTGTGTGAAGAACAAAAAACTGAACACAGGGGTCCTGGCACAAGACCCTGTACTCATAGAACTGGAAAAGGAGGTACAGTTGACTAATGAAATCACAGTACTGCTCCAGAAGCAGATCATTATCTTGTTGGATAAACTGAGCTCTCTGAAAGAGATCTACGCTCAGCTGCTGGCAGACTATCAAGATAAAGGTGAGGCTAACAAGCTTAGCACCAAATGTATAACTCTTGACATCAACTCAGCCGGCCCCCAGCTCCCAGTTAGTGAACACAAGCCCAGTCTGAGCCATGACAACTGGACGTCCAGCTGCAAGGACATAAAGCGGACTGCTGATAACCTGGTTAAAGACTCTTGTTCCTTCAGGGGGAACCTGCGGTTTACCCTTGCCGGGCTGAAGAATGCCCATGAGTGTCAGCACCGCAACACAGATGGTGCCATGCAGAAAAAGATCAATGAGATGAGCAAGTTGCAGGAGAGGATGCGTTGGGAGAGACAGAATATCATGTATGAGATTAAAGATCTTACAAATGACACTCAGAAGGTTGCAAGCCAGATCAGGAACTGTGATTCCAAGCTGCATCAGGCCAACCACTGCTTGGACATCCTCAACCACAGATCCAGGCAAGAGCTCTGTGTGGACCAGCCCTTCACCAGTCTCACGCTGGAGAAAAATGACCTGACAAAAATGTCATCTGGACTTCAGCCAATACTTCAGCGCTGCCACCATGACATGGGGCCGATGCAACAACGCCTGTCGACTCTGGAGGACAAGATGGCCACTAATGCTCAAGCCCTGGATGTAGAACAGAAGTGCCACAACCTGCACCAGAGTTTCCTGCCCCTGTACAACCCCACTGTGGTCATTCCAAGCAAGGCCTGGCTCTGCAGGGGCCCGGGGCCCTCCAGCCCTTACTCCTTCCTTCAGTAGTGTGCATCTGCGCTCTGCTATAGCCCTGCGGTTGGTTACATTTGGTGTTGCAAAAATGAATAAAGTGTATAAGTCTTTGAGCAAAAAGTAATGAGAGGGTTGTGTTAATTCAACTAACATGTAAAGACACAATCACTAAGGTTTTTGCTGCTCCTTTGTACAAAATGAGCCTCAAATATTAGCAGTAGACTGCCAGGATTGCTTATTATTACAAAGGAAAGATAAAAATAAATGGAGTCCACTTTTACAACACACTGGACTGGAAGGGCTACAGTGACATTGTTTAGGTTCTTTAATAAATGCAGCAAGTTTTTGTAAATCATTTTCCAGTATGTTGCTGTTAGGGTTGGGTTCCAATAGCCATTTCTAATTTGGCAATGATGGCAAAAATACCTGAATTTGTCAAATGAGCTATAATCAATATTTTTGAAAGCACAATGTATCAAATGACAATGTGAAAGGGCTAGCTCATAGTGTTGAACGGACAGAGAATTATTAGCTGGATCTGTGGCTACCCTCAGCTTTATAGTGAGTTTCAGCTCATTGTTTAGCCGTCCAGCCCACAACTTTATTGTTTTGGTTCACTGTCATCAACGTCATTTTTGACAGTAGCAAGCAGCTGTATTCAACAAAAAAGCTCTAAAACCCCACTGTACACTAACTGCTGAGCAACAAACAACAACCGATATATCATAATATGTGCTGAAATAAAAACTGTTCTGGTACATAATAAGTATAATAATACTATATATACTTCATATAACAGGAAAAAAAGCTTGTGTCAATATATTGGTGTCACTGCAAAGTTTAGCCAGCTGTGCTTTACAAAACTGTGGCAAGCAGCACAGAGTAAGAGGGAAGAAGCAGGACTTAGCAATGTCAACTACAACTGGTTGACGGTGTATGGTAAATTATTCAACATGTTATGGGTGTGAAAAAAAGATCTCACTGTTCTAAATTTTATTTTATTTTTTATTAAATCACAATATATCACCCAGCCTACAGTCACAATATATAACACTATATTGAATCGTAACCCCTGTATAATGATACATATTGTATCGCCATATTCTTGCTAAAAGACAGCCCTAATGTTAAAGACTATTTAACTTTAATATCTTTAATAAAGTTATTTGTTTAAGAAAAGGTCATCTGAGTACCTTAGCATAATCATATTGGTACAAAATTGGTCTTTTTTCATTCAAGCGCAAAAATTCTATAGATCAGCCACCATATTGGTTATCGGTGAATGTGTCCCCTCTAAAACGCGGTGTTGTCTCAGAAATCCCATATGGGTCGGGCTCTATTGGAAACTAGCTGGTGAACATAGAGAATCAGATATTTCACTCAGGAGTTGGTAGAGACCTAAAAGATCTAAAAGAGAGCGAATAACAGACTTACAGTATATTTGCCAGCAGCACAACTGCAAATGAATGATGTGTTGCTCCATAACTGTTCCTAACAGTGTATACAGCTTGATTTTATTGTTCCCAAGTGGACAAAAAATGGTTTTAGCTACAAACCAAACACATTTTTTAAAACTTTTTTTTAATCTCAGCTTGCTCTTTTTTTATTACAAAACAGTAATGTAGAAAACGTGTCAGCCCTGGTGCTTTTACCAGTTAAAATATGAGCGGACGACAAATTATTATACAAATTAACATCACTGCCGTAACTTTTTTGCTGTTGCCTGCTTAACGTGCTCTCTGGTGCTGATGTCTGTAGGCAGGGATTGTGAGATTTCATGGACTAATAAAGCATTGTTTATTATGAAAAAGGTTTTGTAATTTTAAAATTGCCACATTATGAAGAAATAATCAAAAATGTAATTAAGTAATCCATGGCAATGCAACTATAATCTAATTACAAATTTTTTCAAATGTATTCTGGGCTGATTATAGTTACTTATTTCTGATTACTTTTCGTTTTGCCAGATTGTTACGGCCATAGAGCTGAGAGCTGTTGTTGTGTTGAGTTGTTTTCCCTCTGCAGTGAGTCTGGCTGTCTCCAATTGCTAATCAGGGCTGGACATATATATAAACTGGGATCGGAGTTGTGGCAGGTGGGTCATCCGGCAGCATCCATGCTATGTGGGTCTGAGACGAGAGGCTGTGTAAAACGTTAAGATGAAAGCGGTCCTCCCTGGGAGTGTGTGATTGTTTTTGTTAAGTTTGTTAAAGCACTTAAAAATAGTTAATTATACAGGATTGGCTTCTCCTTCATTTTAAAAAAAAAAAGAAAGCTTGTTTTGAGTTTTCATCTTTTGGTATTGTTGTGAGTATCAATTTTCTGTTTACTGGTAATAAAAACCCTTGTTTGGATTGAAGCAAACGTTCCTTGATTCTTTCTCCCTGGGTAAAATTTTGACATACATCTCTGGGACATAACAGAAATGACGGCTTGTTGATCTCAATGTGTTGAGCTCAACAAACTCTTTGAGTCAACAATGCAAACAATTTGAATAAACTATTCAGAGAGGCTGGCTCTGTGTTAGAACTACTCTGGAGTTCTGGTAGGGGATCACAGTCAAGCCTCCCCTCGGACCACTCTTAATAATAGGACTTATTCATCTGACCCTGTGCCAGTGAGGTCATTCCTGCCAGCTGTTATCACTCTATATGAAGAATCCTCTCTGCGTCACAAAGCCTGACACTCTATTGTTCATCTGTCCAATATGAAATAATATTCACAAGTGATTTATCTTCATATACATCTTTGTATTTAAGAGGAACTACACACAAAGAGCTGACATAACCCTGTAAGGCTGCAGTAAGTCATTTTTATAAAAAAATAACTTCTTGTCATATTTGCTGAGATTTTTACTGTGTCCTGACAGTAGTACACAAGACAGATAATCGGAAGAAATCAGGTTCCTCTGGCTCGTTCTAGTGCCCATAATGGTATTCGCAAGAATCCACCGGGCCTGGACAAAACCAACCAATCAGAGCCAAGAAAGATACAAAGACGGTTTGGGTTGGAGGCTTGAATTTAGTTGATTGTTAAATCTCATTCCCAAGGTCCCAAAGCGTCTGTATTTGTCGCCCTGGGAATGAGACTCCACAATCTTTCTTGGCTCTGGTTGGTTGCTTTTGTCAAGGCCCGGTAGTTACTTGCACATGCAATTAAGAGCACTAGGAAGAGCCAGAGGAACCTGATTTTTTCACTGATTATCCGTCTCATGTACTACACTTAGGATATAGTGAAAGTTTAGTTAGCAAAAAAAAAAAATTAAATCACACACTGCAGCTTTAAAGTTTTAAAGACACTTACAAGGCAGGTGGGGTCTAGCATGAAGTTCTATTGGTTACTTTGTGACCTTATCTGCTTTAATTTGGCTCATTCTTATTCTTTTCAGCCCTCAACATTTTTCATACCTGCACTGTATATATACTCGTGTGTATGATTTTCATATTAATCACTACACTGTACTCAACAAATACACGACATCAATATACAGTATACTATACTCAGCACTATCATTGTGTAATTTAGTATGTATTTAGATTTACAGTAACTACTTACAGCAAGTCTTACCTTTCTGAGCAGGTGTGGGAACATCTGGAGGTTCTTCAAACTTCAGTGTTTGTACCAGAGCCTCTGGAGTTATTTTAGTGCCAGCGAAGATCCCAGAGGGGAAGGAGCTCCCTGCCAGAGCCTATGAGGTTTGCAAAAAAGGATGCAAATAAATAAGTACAAGACTATCAAAGCAATTATACGCTATATCCATGTTATGGCTGGTACAAGCTATTTTGGTTCAATTTTGAGTTTTAGATTTGATTCACCTTTTCTACGTGGTACCTAAAAAATAGGACTGATATTTCAAAATAAAGCTCGTATGCGGCTGAAATCACGGTGCCCACAAAATTAGGCACTTAGCTAAATGTATTCTTGGTCCAACTATCGTTAATGGGCATTCAATAGCACACGTCAACGTTATTTATTCGAACAGTTATAATAACCGACCTGTTTGACATTTTTCGAGGCGTCACTCTTGTTATTTCCCAGCAGTGGAGGACTTATTGTGTGTAGTCCCAGTGGAGGAGGCTGCTCTAAACTCCGAGATAACGCAGAGTCGTGGGGCTGTGTGAGGCTGCTCGGCCTGTCGAGCTTCACCGCCTCCTGGTGAATCTTCTGTCGGACATGTTTTATCTTTCCGACCATGTTAATGCAGCCTAGCGAACTTTATATTAAACTCAATTAAATGTGTTTAACACAAGCAGTTGTGTCTCTGCTCCCCGGTGTCGACAGCGTGTGACGTTGAAAAGTCCGCTACGCTTAGACCGGAAATCAATGTGTTGCGCCTTCAAATTAAATTACAAATTGCCCACTTTTATTACTTTTGGCTAGCGTTTAGCATATAACAACCGCCGTGGTTTTAATATACGTATACACAAGATAGAAGTGAACCCTCTACGATGTTTAGTGTGTTTTTTTGCTTATTCTTTTTAGGCTCGGTCCCACGTTATGTAGGCTAAATACAAGGCTAGCTAACACTAGGCTATTCTGAGAAATATGACATTTGGAAAAAAGCTATTTCATTTCAGCATTCACTGTGCCACTCATGTTCTCAATTTCATTTCAGTTTTGAGCTTTGTATTTCTTGTACACCTGTACAAAATAATTCATATCTTAATAAAAGTTTTAGTTTGGACGTAAATACCAGAAGTAGATGTTTCTACCCCGGCTAGCTTGACGATTGTTGACATGACAAGCGTGACTGGTGTCCCAGGTTAGTAGATCGGTGGAAAACGGCGCAGAACGAAAGTTCCGCATGCTAATTTTAAGATTTAGAAGATAAGTTGATTCATATATTTGAGTTAATTTACTAAAAATAACATATATATAACATATTAACAGTTAACTATTTACGTATATTCATGTTACATAGTTATTATTTAGATATTCACATGTTGAGAGCTTTACATGTACATCTTTAAAACAGTTATAATATTCTGCTGAATCTACCTCTGTGGTTTTTTAATATACAGTCTATGGTTCTGATTGGTCAGCTAGCCTACATACTTGAGATTGAGACTGTTTCATAACCAGTTAAAAACTTCTTGTAGTATGTTTAAAGTAAGAACTCAATAAGCTGATGTGGAAGGAATAATGCACCCTGAAGTGAAAATCATATTTATTTGCAGGCGGATGTGGCAAATGAATATGAGGTCTTCTACAATAAAAAAACAAGCAAATAGTAATTTAACACTACAATGTGCTACACTGTACAGTACATATGAATGTTTACATGTATATGAAAACAGACATATCAAAACAAATTTACACGAAGGGATCCTGGACCAGGTCCTGAACAAAGAGTCTGTGGAGAGTCTGCAGATCTTTGACCTGAGAGAACAAGAAGAAAATTATTATGATGCTGAATTAGACACAATAGGAGTTTAACTAACAAGGAATACATTTCATTAACACACATGTGAAGTGTAAATCAATTTGCATATTATTTTTATTCACACTCATCTGAATTAGCACACAATACACAGGGTAATATTGTACAATTTGCTGGGGCAAATTGTCAGCTTTTATTCTACTTAGTTTTAGTACAAAAACAGTTTTCATTTAAGTCTAGTTTTTATTTTAGTTAAGTAAACACCAACCAACAGCACTTTCACCACTGGACCTCCCTACACTTACAAGACAAACCCACTGCACCACCAAGTCCCCTCCCTTTGAAACCTTCTCTCTGAGTGCTTTTAAATATTCACTTTGGACATTGAACTTCAAACTTCATTCAGCCTCACAGTGGAATCAAACACACAACCTCAGATTTTATGGTTAGTCTTCTAACCTAGTCTTCTTATTTCACCGGAGACAGTCTTCCACAGTTTCGAAGTCCTTTTCACTTGTTTCTTTAAACAGCTAATTTCAAAATTCACAGAGTTGAGCAAGGCTTGAACCTCCAAACTTCCAACCACTGTATTGATATTCAGACACAGAAACTCATTAAGCTATACATGGATACAGCAAAGTGTATGTTTGTTGTTGCTTTTCTTTACATTTTTGAGGAGAAAACACAGAAAAGTGTCATCAGAAGACACCATGGATTTGATCCCTCCCCCTTAGATCATCAGGTATCTGCACTTTATCTCAATGAACTATACTTGAGGCTTGACATTTGCTTTACATTTTGTTGACATGACTAGTAGACTTGGTATTCCTGTTTGAGACACTGTACCTGTTTTCCTCTCAGCTTTACACTTTTAGATTTGACAGATAGATTTGAGAGAGGATCGGTAGAACTCAAACATCCTGAGCCGTTTAATCTGAGGGACTGAACTAGAGCTTTGACTCTCTGCCTGAACCCGATGGGTCGTGTTGGGCCAAAACTGCTTTTTTAACTTAGATTGAATAAATATATATGCATTAAATATTTTATTAACAATGCATACAAGTGTAATTAATGTGAATTTATTAGTTTTGATAATAATTTGCACTATATAATATGCACAATGTAGTTAAATTATTTATTGTAAGCAGAAATTCGGGTTCTGTTTTGGGCCCCAAATTGCTTCCATGGTTCAGGCTCGCACAGACGTTTTTCAGGCTTGGGTCCTGTCGGGTCAGATTTTTTGGGACAAATCAAAGCTCAACTTGACTTGAACCTGTCTGACCTTCAGGCTAGTAGTTCCCACCACCCACTTAAACAACTAAACTAAGCTTGAGCTTCCACTTCTAATTTCCACTGAGACCGAACTCACTTTGGCCACTTATACTGAAAGCATTTGTCACTTCTTTGTCTTTCTTATGAGTCGCCAATTAAATAAAATAAATGTCTTTATGTCATATTTATTTGCAGCGATTCATCTATCAGCCATGTTATCCCTATTCTACTATAATAAAACACTGTTACACACATCGAATACTAATTATTGTACTAGATTTTTTTTTAAGAATAACTTGACGTTTTGTTTTTATGTAACTTAAACTTATGAAGGGACTGCTTATTAGACAATGGATATGTAGTAGATATTAGTATTTAGTTGTTGTTTTATCAATAGTAAGCAGTATTGTTTGATTAGTCTATCTAAATGTTTGTTTATGTTCTTATTTATCGATTTAGATTAACCTTTTTAAGTTGCAAACCTGAGTTGTGTTGACATTTATAAGCTGGAAAAAATTGTTTAAAATTTTATGAGTAGTTTAATCAACTTAAAAACTTCAGTTGAGCAATTTGGGACAAAACAACCCTTTAAAGTACTTAAGTCACTTGTAGATCACCTTTTTTGACAGCAGATGGAACCCTTACGCTGCTTAATAAACATTGATCTCTGACCACACATTCTTCCTGCATTTGTCAGTACATTACAACATTATAATACTTCACATGAAGCATAATTTTTCTAAAGCCTGTTCTGTTTATTTAGACTTTTGATTGTTTCCTACCTGCAGGCAGCCATTACAGGATGAGAGAACTTGCCGGGACTTACACTTGCTTGAGCGTCAACAGGAATATTTTTGTTTTTTCTTGAGAATTAGTGGAATTCTGGGTTCGGCAGAGGAATCTGACATTTTTGTGACACATTAAGGCAGTCTATATAATTTAACTGTGACATATATCAGTGATACCCAACCTTTTTCATTAAGGGACCCCCTTATCATCATTTAGTAAAGTGACAACCCCTGACCAAGTGACGTCTGTTTTATGGATATTCCATATTGTATTCAAAACTGTACAATGAACCCAAACAGTGAAGTCAGAACCAAATGCTGAGATGAAGCTTTGGCAACCCCTAGTGGGTGTCCCAAGCCCCAGATTGGTAACAACTGACATATAAAACAAATATAATTGTGACATAATCCTATATAACCATATCGTATTAAAGGTAAGATTGCTATATTCAGGTGATTATGCACTAATGAAAACATATTATATATAATATTATACATATATTCAATTTTACTGTTTTTTTTTTTTAAAGGGGAATTGAAAAAAAGAAAAAGACAATACCTGTGGGTCCTGGGTCATCTGGTTTCCCCAGCCACTTTGGCTTTCAGCTCATTCAGATCAAACCAACAGCCAATCATATACATGTTTGTTCTGACTGACAGAGAAAGACTTTTTGCTGAAA